ATATATATATATATATATATATATAATGGTTACTCTAATAATATTTATCATTGAATGTTAATCAATAGTTATAATAAATTATATAATTGATTAAGAAAATTTATGACGTCATTAGATTTTTATATTTGGTTCATTTAAAGTTCGTATATATATCTTTTGGACGTGACTCTTTCGAGAATCTTGTCAAATACGTGGAAAGGTGGCAAAGCAACTGATTTGGATTCAATGTACTCCATATAATTAATACACATACATTAGTTGTTTCCATTTATTTATAGGGAGATTTTTTGATACGTCTGGCGTATCGGCATATATCGATATGTTATATTTTTTTAACCGTTAAATCTGTATTTTTATTTTATTTTTATGTGATTTTATACATATTTGACAAATATAGAACCTGGTTTACTAGTATATTACCGTATCGGAAAAAGTCTTTTATTTATATTATATGTAAAAAAAAAAAAAAAAAAAAAAAAAAAAGGAGAGAGTGCAGATTGGACCAAGGTACTCCTAATAGTATACGTCTTTGATAATTGATAGAACCGAGTACACAATTGGACCAATCTATAATGAACAAAACAGCTAGCCACTTAACAAGGATGGTATCAGCCAACCAAGCTTATCCGATCCTTATGGGAATGATGCCGTTGTATTTGTTCCATACACTTAGAACTTCACAATTCAAAGACGTAGCAGCCTGTGATCTTCATTAGTTTACCAGAAGTGGTAACTTGGAAGGTATGATCAATAGCTAGCGTGCGACATCATAGTCTCTTGGTTGTCTCTCAAAAGCCTCAAATTAGGAAGAAGCCAAATTAATTTATCATTAAAAAAAGATGTCTCACAATAGGACTCAAAAAATAAAAGTACCAGTAGGTTTTTTTATTTTCGTCTATCAGATCTATATGAGTCAATATATTTTTTATTTTGATGTAATTTTAATTATATCTAATTATCAGAAATATGCACCACCAATATAAGATCAAGAACCTACAAAATTGATGAAAAAAAAAGAATAATTTATCATTAAAAAAAGATGTCTCACAATAGGACTCAAAAAATAAAAGTACCAGTAGGTTTTTTTATTTTCGTCTATCAGATCTATATGAGTCAATATATTTTTTATTTTGATGTAATTTTAATTATATCTAATTATCAGAAATATGCACCACCAATATAAGATCAAGAACCTACAAAATTGATGAAAAAAAAAGAATTCGTTAAATATATATATATATATATATATATATCCCACACTGGCCACGACGTGACTATGATTTTGTTGGCTGCACGACACAGCCAGCTCAATACCCTCCTCATCGGGCCACCTTATTGCATTTTCTGAACATGTTGTTTCTCATATTCTTTAGCGCCCTATAACACAATGCCAAGAGGGCACACACCTTATGATGAGGACCAACTCACAAAGCCTAACTGACTACTCATTCAATTAGACATCTCAAAAACAAAAATCCTTTCTTTTTTAAGGTATGTTCGAATATCAAAAATTCTCTCATTAGTCATTACAGCTCTTGTAAGTGGAGATGATTTTAAAGAGTCCCTTGATTGGTGGAGACTAGTTTACAACCAGGTCATGTTTAACTCGAGTGACATGGAATCATTAAAAAAAACTAATTTAATAGTTGAAAACACCTGTCTACCGTGGAGCAAAATAACTTGCTCGATTGTAAAAATATTGGCTCCGTTCATTTTACTGATTTGAGTTTTATTATAATAAAAAATTCTCAAAAATAATTACATTTAATTTTTTTATTGTAGTAAAAAGCTCTCACATAAAATTACATCTCAACTCAAATTAAAAACTCAAATCAACAAACTAAACAGTATTTTTTTTTTTGTAACCTTATTTCTTTTTATTCTAGAAACTAAAATAGAATCATTTGTACTAACTACTGGAACAATTGTAGTGATGGTTACAATAGAGTACTTACAAGATAGTGACACGTATTAAACAAAGCCCCAATGGCCGAATCTAAACCAAACCAAAGGTCCAAAGCTGCAAAATCCATATGCGCAATTTTCTTCCTTTTTCTTTCTTTATTTTCTTGGTGCAGTTAAAGTTGCAATCATTTTATGGAGAAGGCAAGAGTGTAAGTGTAACTTTATGGCCAACTCATACCATAGAGGGTCCAGCTCACACTCCTTAGACCCCCGGTTGATGCCTCTGCTTTCATGAGACCCCCAGTTTATGCCTCAGCTTTCATGTTTCTTTTTTTTTCTTTTTTTCTTTTTTTCTTTTTTTTTTTGAAGAGAGAGAATTTTAAGGGTGGGATATGAAAAATCTTCTATTAGTAAAATACAATTTTAAATTATTAGATCGTGTCATAACGTTATGACTAAGAAAATATATAATAATCAAATAAAATTTTATAAAAATTGAATTTGAACTATACTAGTAGGGTATTCATGAAATTTTCCTATTTCTTAAAGAAAAATTTTGTTATTTCTTAAGAAGAATTTTGTAATTTGATACGAGAAAAACACCTACTGAAAAAACACACTAATGAAGCATCAAATCACATTAGAGCTGCAGAAAAAAAAGAAAAAAAAAAAGATCACATTAGACCTGCGTCATGTTAAGAAAGTATGAAATTTTAATGAACCTAATGAAGATCTAATAGCTTTTTAATTAAGTTTCGTTTATTACCATACTTTATGCAATTTGATATTATTCTTTTAAAAGTATATGTAATCAGCGCTATTTGAATTGGTTGTTCATTGTTGGATGATAAATTGTTTGGCAGTGGTTACTAAACCAAGGGTCCGCAACTTACTCCCCTAATCTCTCAAGCTCCATAGTTGTCCCTCCAATTACCCTTATTGCACTTCCTTCACTAACAGTACCATAAACCAAACAAGAGATGGAATTCAAAATGGAAAAGATGATCAACCTAGAATAAGATTGAAAATCTAATACCTAATTCCATTCTCTTGAATTCAATCTAATGGTTTAAAATTTTTTGAGCAAAATCTCAAGTCAAACACCCAAACAGTCTGTTGAATGGAATTTTTTGTCTTATATTCTAGTGTAACATCGTTTGATGCATGATTTAGTAAGTATAATACTTAATGTAACATACGTTAGATTAAATTTTTTGAGTGTTACATTTAAACAGACTGAGTATTACACACATAAACACGAAGTTACATTAGAATATGAAAAAAAAAAAATTACACATGCACGATTGGGTGCCGGACTTAAAAAGATATTTTCAAAAATTACGTACCACCAATAAGATTTTATTATTTCTCATCGCAATTAATGCTGAAAGTGATGCAATATTTTAGTTGGCTTTGGGACGGAGTAATCACTTTTTGAGCATGGGAGGCCCCCGGCACCAGAAGCAGATTTGCCTTTAGGGGGAAAAGTCGTGTGTTTATTTTCTTGGTCAAAAGTCAAATCCAGTTATGGATGCATTTACCAAAGTACCCTTGGTGCTGGTATACAGCTGGCCACGTTGAAGTCCAGAGAGATAGAGAGCTCTGGGCATTGAGGTCGAGGCCCGCCTGAGGGGGACTTGGTTTGAGTTGGAGAGGGATTCGGTACAATACATGTGGCAGATCCTCACGTGGCTCTTGTCGCCTCAGACACCCCAAACCAAAGTGCGTTGCAAACATTGAGGTTGTAACTTGTTTGAGCCAAAAAAATAAAAATAAAAATGCTTTGCAAACAGAGCCATATCCACGCGATCTGTTCATGGCCACGCGCCCAAAAAGGATAAAACAGAGGAAGAACTTGCTCGTTTGAGATCATTCTCAACACAGTTTTTTATTTGATTAGTATAAAAGTGAAAGATGAGAAGTTTAGAGAATATTTTTAAGAGTAATTGGCACTATTACTTCATGAATTTTAACTACTCCGGTGTATTTTTTTAACTTTTAGTTTTAATATATTATTTTCAAAATATCTATTATACGTTTTTGATAATTATAGTCTTTAATATCATAATTTAGTAATAATTTTTTACATTTCACATAAATAATTACACTTTTATTGCATAATAATTGAAAATTTTATGTAAATAGTTATAACGAGTGATTATCACGAATGTCTATTTATGTTATCACGCTATTGACAAATGATTACCAATATCTAAATATATGAAGTGTTAATAATTGATCAAATTCAGATTCAATTTTCAACTGTAAAATCAAATAAAAATTATTTTATATTATATGAAATATTACGTTTTAACGACATCTAATAAAAATATGATTGTTAAAAACTCTGTTGGATCGATTCGCATTTTCGCATACCTTACCAAATAAATTTCCAAATAAAAGAATGTTTCACGGTTTGTAAACTTCTCATTGAAAACCCAAAAAAAAAAAAAAAAAAAAAAAAAAAAAAGACTTCAAGTTTTAAATTATTAGCATTGTTAGCTCTCAATTATAAAGCATTATGACACTCAAAGTTTTTTCCTTTTTGGACGAAATTAACCAAGGACTTTTGAATTTAACAGATATAATCACATAATTTCTATCGCATAATAATTATAAATTGTACAAAATTAGTTAAATTAAATTTGAAATGTTTTAGTTGTTATA